GTTAAAACAGAAGGGGGAGAAGAGGAATCTCGTGTGTGATGAATTTCATTTGATCAATTTAACCAAAAAAATTCTCTCCTCATTAAAAACTTGTAACAAAATTAGGGCAATTAAACACATTTTCAGTTCTACAGAGAAAGCTGATCCTAAGAAGTCCCAAGAAGATGGAAATCGCGTTTGGGATCCAGGTCCATTCGCCTGGAGAAAGGGCGATACATTTATATTTTTGCAGAATAAAGCTGATGGACTCCCTCTAGAAGGACGCAACCACGTTTGGAGAAAAATGGACAAAGAAGAGATGAAGGAGCCACCCAATCTTAACCATAATTCCTTTTGCAGGTTAATGACGCCCCAAAGAGAGGGGCTATTTGCTTATGTTTTCACAGGTAAAGGAGTTGGTGAATTTCTCTTCAGCCAGCAAGGCCCAGAAGAAAGGAGGGACGCCCATGCTGTGACGTGACCCTGTCCTGTTACTGAAGTCACCCAAAACGTCAAGAAGACCTCGCAGATTCCTGAGAATGGCGACGCTGACCACAGAGAGATTGCTTCCATTGCGGATGCCGTCTAAGGGACACTCTGGGACTCTATCATAACTGAACATTTTATACAATAGTGACTGGACTATTACTACAGATTGTTGCTTTGCTGAAAGATCAAGATTTTGGACATTTTATAAAATAATGATTGGACTATTACTACAGACTGCTGCTTTGCTGAAAGATCAAGATTTTAAACTTGTTAATTAATGCTGTAATGTGATTGAAATGTAACTGATTTCTGTGTAACTCCTTACCTATATAATGTAACATTGCATGATTGGGATATGATCAGAAAACATTTGCAAGGGTTTAAGGGAAACATTTCATTAGATGTTGATCAGCTTAAAACGGATATTTTCTATACATTCAAAGACAAGCTTGAGGCATTTACTGGCTCTTATATAATTAAGCAATTGGTGGATGGCATGGAAGGATTAGATCCTCATGCTTGGGTTCAAAGTATTTCTCATAGCCTGGGTTCCAGCCTATCAGTGCTGCTCATAATCACAATTTTTGTCCTGGCTATCATGTGTTGCTTCTATAGAAAGCTAAGGCGTATGAAGGAGAATCATACAGCCTCTATGGCACTTTTGAAGTTTGCGCATAAGGCAAACACCGTGAGGAGCAGAGAACGGGAAGAGAGTGTTTAAGGATGAATCCTTCATTTTCTCGCAGAGGAGCCTGGGAGGCTAGGTTTCTAGTGGTGGAGGGGGACCTCCGCCCTTGTGAGCTGTAGGTGAGTCCCAATCACATTCTCGTGACATTGCTCCTTACTTTACCCTCCCAAATGGTGCTATTTCTGAGGTTGTCTCTTACAACCACATAGCTGGTTGCTGTGTGGCCAACAGCTTTAACTATAGAGGCAAACGTTCCTATTTGGCTTTATTTCTTCTCCCCACTGCGGTATCCAATCTCAATACCCTCCTCCAATAGCCGATGGGCATTAGGGAACTTTACCCCCAGTGCCTGGATTCAAAATATTTTCTATAAGCCTGAATTTTTGGCTATATTAATTGGATCATGAAGTTTTGCCTTGGCAGTTTTCAATGTATAGAAAATAACCATGTAGCCACTGTGGCTCTTGTGAATTTTATATATAAAACAAAAGGGGGACTTGTGGGGGGAAGTCAGATACTTGCTGCCAGACTGCTGTCTCATCCCACCACAGGGGTGGGCCTGCTCCCTGCTTCTGGAGACAATGGACTACTCTCTGAAGCTTGGGGCCATTAGCTTGGTTCCTGTAGGAGGGGTTTGCACCCTACTGATAAGGGTTCCTATAGAAACCCAGAGACCACCCCCTAGACCATCCCCTCATTACTGTGTAACCTATAGTGCAGCCCCTTCCTGTGACGTGTTTCTACCTGCAATTAGTGGGCTGGCTTGCCCCCAAAAGGTATATAGGTGTGAGCCAGCAATATAGATCTCTCTCTGACTCTGAGCTCCTTGCTGCTCACTCCCTGGTCACTCCCCTCTCCCTTGTTCCCTTCCCCTCTTTCCCTTCCCCCTCTCTCCACGTGGACCACCAAGCTGGGCTGAGGTGAGCGATGGTATCATGTAATGTGTCTGACTGTATTATTGCAATATCTCTCATGCTCTTGATGACTTTAATAGAATGCTTATATATCTCAACCGTACAATTGTGCATTACCGAACCCTGAAGTAGTATTACAGAACTCGTAGGAGTAGCAGCGGGTGGGGGCTGGCCCTTCACCCCCCCAGCGCCATTATTTTTTAATTTAATACTACAGTCCGTGTAAGCTGTTCCGTTGGGTTTTCAATGGCGGATGGTTCCATAGCATGTAGCCAGGCCTTTCTTCCTGGGTGCCTTCTGGTGGACTTGAACCGGCAGCCTTTTCGAGAAGCCGCCACAGGTTTCCATTAGTGGCCGAGCGCTTAACGACTGAGCCACGAGGCCTCCTTTCCAAATAGGAGAGGTTTCCAAAAAGATCGTGGGAAAATTCCACTGTGTATGAATTCCAAATGGAATTCATGCCACAGTCGACCGTGGGGGAGTTGTTTCAATGGCTCCTCAGCCGCCGCTCGCTGACCGCTCTCCCAGCACGGGATTGTGGCTTTCCTCAGATCAGGCTCCCTCGGGCATTTGTGTGACCGTGGACTATCCAACCTGTGCAACCATTCCGGCCAAGGTCTCCCCCCCACCTCACACCTCCGCCAGCTGCCCTCCAGCGCTGTTGGCAGCACCCACCTCAGGGGTGTCCTGGCCTCGATAGGCTAGCCGGTACCCTAACAGGGTGCCCTGCAGAGGCTCCCTTGGTTTCTGCCAACGCACGAGGGCCTGGCTCCCGTTCAACACGGCGCTCACGTTCTCTGGCGGGCCCAGGGGCACTGGAGGAGAAGGCAGGAGAAGCTAGGACCCCACCTCTTCCTGGCCGGCTTCCAGGGTGCCAGGAAGTAGGGAGAGCAGGGGAAACATATGCAGGCCTTCCAGGAATTGAGGCCCAGGGTAGAGGCTGGGCAGAGGCCAGGGGGCAGGGCTATGGGTTCGGGGACTGGGCAGGTAGGAGACTGAGGCCCTGGGGTGAGAAAGGGTGCTGGGGTTGGATCCAGAGTCCAGCAGAGTAGCAGGCCAAGCCCCCCTACCCCTTCTTACCTCCCTCGAGGGTCTGCACAGGGAGCCAGTGGGTCCAGGGAGAGGGGCCCTGGCTGCTGGTACAAGCTGCCCGGATGTGATACGGGGCATTCGGACGGAGGCTGCCCAGGCGGAGGCGGTGTGGGGGCACAGAGGCTTGCAAGGTGAGGGGCTCCTCGGGGGGGTCTGGTTCTCCCAGCCGGATGCCCACGCCATCGTCTGAAAGCACAGCCTGGGGGCGGGGGGCACGGGGGGACGGGCATGAGCACAGCGTGGCCACGAGGAGGCAGCCACACCACTCTGGATGACGGCGTCCGTGTGGCGCGACTCTGAAACTGTGCAAAGGGGCTGGGGTGTGCGTGTCCTAACTCTTAACGGGGCGACAAAGGCCCACGGTTTGCAGAGCAAGAAAACCACCCAGCGGCACAAACGTGGCCTCGTCGCCACTTGCACATGCCTCTCCTGTTAAGGTGTAAGCCCTCTCCGAGCCTCAGTTTTCCTCATCTGGAAAATGGGAGCAGAGCTGAGCAACAACTGGGTGATGGGGACAGAGACGGGCAGCCTACAGGTGAAAGGGGCTGCGCGCGACACAGGTGGTGGCTGGCATGGTGTGGGGTGGGTAGACTGTGACGATTAGAGATGAAATACACAGGGCAGGGTCCCCTGCATCCAATATCCAATCCTGGGCAAAAGCGATGTCTAAGGCCGTCTGGGCTGGCCGGTTCTGTATCTTGCCTTAGAGCAGTGCTTCTCAACCTGGTTACCTAAGAACATCAGAAAACACGTATTTCCGATGGTCTTAGGAACCGAGACACCTCTCCTCTATCCGTCGCCAGGCGGGTCCGCCCACATGCAGATACGCCCACATAGGAGTACCCAGCGTGAAGACTGTTACCCATGTTACACCATGCCTCAAGACATTTCATTGATCTGTCATTAGACATGAATATTTCACAATAGATAATGACATATTGTTTTCGTGACTCATCACGATGCTTTAATGAGGTTCAATTTGTAGCAATGAAAATACATCCTGCCTATCAGACATTTCCACGATTCATCACAGTAGCAACATGACAGTGATGAAGTAGCAACGAAAATAATTTTATGATTGGGGGTCACCCCAACAGGAGGAACTGTATGAAAGGGTCATGGTAACATTAGGAAGGTTGAGAACCACCGCTGTGGAGGGAGGCTGGTTACTCAGGTGAGCAAGAAGACTAACAAGAGAGAAACTCTCACTGTCACCCACTCTGTTCCGGCTCATAGCAACCCTCTAGGACAGGGTCAGACTGCCCTCGGGGGTGTCTGAGACTGTCGCGCTCCACGGCAGCAGACAGCCACATCTTTCCCCCGCCGGGAACAGCCTAACTCGTGGATAATAAGAATGGAAAACAACCGGTCCCATTGCCATCACGTGGAATTCCACCCAAAGCAACACTGTGAGCCGTCTCCAAGGCTGTGTGAATCCTGACAGACCCGGAGGAAGCCCGCTGCTCCTGAGCACGTCTGAGATGCTAAATCTTCCCCGGAGTGGGCAGCCCCACCTTCCGTCAGCCGCCCGGTGCCCAACCCACAGCGCCACCAGGGGCTCCAAGCCGACTGCTGGTGGGTTTGACCTCCAACCTTTTGGCTTCGGGGTGGGGGCTTTAGCCACTGTGCTTGCGGGTGTACACGTGTGAGAAGCAGAGCCCTCAGCACCTTATGAGGGGGAACACTGTTGACCCCCCCATAGCAACCCTGCGCAGTGGGGGTCCTGTGATTAGCCCCATTATACAGGAGGGAACACTGAGGCATGGGGAGCTGGAGTCACGGGTCCAACGACACCATCAGGCCATCCCCGAGGAAACTGAGCCCTGAGCCCCATTCTGTCTCCAAAGCCTTTGCCCTACAGATGGTTACCTGCTCGCTGCCCTAGAGCTGGACGCCACTCATAGTCACCCTGTAGGACAGAGTAGAGTGGCCCCTGGGGATTTCTGAGGCTGTGAGTCTTGATAGAAACAGACAGCCTCATCTTTCTCCCAAAAAGTGGTTGCTAGATTCGAACTGCTGACCTTGAGGTGAAAGCCCAACTCCTGACCTACTACACCACTAGGGTTCCCCTCCAGCTGTGGGCGAGCACATCCAGTTGGACGAACACATCACTAACAAGAGCGGTGAGGCTAATCTGTCCAGAGGCAGGGCCCAGGTGGCACGGTGGGTTAAGTAGAGAACTGCGCAAGGTTGGCAGTTCAACGCCCCCAGCCACTCTGAGGGAGAAAGATGAGGCTGTTTGCTCCTGTGAAGAGTTATAATCTCAGAAACCCTGTACCAATACACACACACACACACACACACACACACACACACACTCACTGCCATCGATGCTGACTCTTAGTGCCCCTATAGGACAGGGGAGAACTGACCCTATGGGTTTCCAAGACTATAACTCTTCACAGAAGTAGAAAACCCTGTCTTTCTCTTGAAGAGCAGCTAGATGGTGGTTTTGAACCATTGACTTTGTGGTTAGCAGCCCAACACGTAACCACTGTGCCAACAGGACTCTTCTGAAACCCGATAGAGGGTTGATTGCAAACCGATGCAGGGCCAGTGTCGTTTGGCTTTTGTTTCTGCCCAGAGAGGTGCCCAGCAGCACTAGGTTAGTGCTTGAGAATGGATTCTGGAGTCTGAGTTCCTATCCAGCCTCGGCCCACGTTCTGTCTACTTCTGTGCCTTTGTTTCCTCATCTGTAAAATGGGATAACAGCAGCGGCTCCCTCCACAGGGGTGGCTTAACACATGTGCTAGGAAGAGTGTGTATACTAAGTATTTGCCATTCTGTGTGTGTGTGTGTGTGTGTGTGTGTGTGTGTGCCTGCCAGCAAGTCTCAAACTCAGGGGCACAGGCTCACACATGGTCTTGGGTTCCAGAAATGACACTTTCAGGATGGAGGGGCCCGTGGCTGGGGACACAGCCTTGCTGCATGGAGCCAAAGCCATCCTGGTCACACAACTTACAGCCACACAACTGCAGGGTGTTGCTGCCCGGGGCCTAACCTTCACCTGAGAGACCCCAACCTCAGCACCACATACCTGGGAGACCCCACGCTCACTGCCACACAGTGTGTTGGGGAGGAGTTCACTGTGTAAGGGTGTGGGCTCTGCAAGCAGATCCCTTGAGTTCTGGCTTGGCCACTCATTTGCTGTGTGACCTAAGGTGAGTAGCTTAGCATCTCTGGATCTTCGTTTCTATCTCTAACGGGGATCCAAGAGTCTCTACTAGGCAGGGCTTGATGCTTCATGGCACAAAGCAGGCAAGCTATTTTGCCCACCAGCATGTGAACAGCGGAGGTTCTTTTGTTAAAAAACCTTTCTCTCACTGCCATCGGGGCGATGCTGACTCAGAGCGACCCTATAGGGCAGCGTAGAACTGCCCTTGTGAGTTTCTGAGACTGTGATGCTTTCTGCAGTAGACAGCCCTGCTTTTCTCCCGAGGGGCTGCTGGTGGTTTTGAACTGCTCCCCTTGCAGTGAGCAGCCCAACGCATAACCGCTCTGCCACCAGGGCTCCTTTTAACCTGTATTTATTTATTGTCTGTACGTTCATTCATTCTTCCATACGCTTATGCCAACGATTCACCTCTGAAAGGAGCCAACCTAAAAAATAACATCTGAAGCATGAAGAAAAACGTTTACATAAAGTCAATGATGACAATGTGTTTTGAAGTCCCCTCCATCAAAAAAACCCATTATGGTGGGTTTAATTTTAAATGCATAACGAACAAATACTTAGAGGTATATGTCTGGGGAGGTTTTTTTTGGAGGGGGGAGGCTTTAACAAAAATAAAATGTCGAATCTTATCAGCAGTGAAAAAAACAACATCCTACTTAGCAATTCCCACAGCCATTGAGCGTTTCTGTGCCATGAGCCCCCCTAGACAGGGTTTCTGAGGCTACACATCTTTATGTATAGCCTCATCTTTCTACCGCCCAGCAGTTGATGGTTTTGAACCACCAACCTTGAAGTTAGCGGTTGAATGCTTAGCCAGCATTCGGGGTTCCTTCCATGAAGCAACAGACGCTACCCAATCACAGCTGGCCCTTCTTGAGTGCCAACACCACGCCAAGGCCGATCGCGAACAGATTTCTGGATTTACTCATTCACCTCTCACCACCGCGCTCTGGGGTCGATTTCTGTTTGCACCCCCTCAGACAGATGGAGGAAACCCAGGCTCAGTGAAGGCCCCACAGCTCTGAGAGGGAAGACATCACCCCACGGGACCACGGAGGTAGCGGGAGGAAGAGTGGGCTGAGGCTGTCTCGGGCCCTGCTCTCTGACACACAGGGACAGAAGGAAAGGGGAAGCTTGAGTGGGGCAGAGGGGAGGTGGGTGCATTCAGCCATCCTCCCCCAGCCCACCCTTACTTCTCTTTTCCTGAGAGTCTGTGCCCCTCCCGCCCGAACCTTGCAGGCCCCCGGCCTGTGCACAGCAGGAAGTGAGACCCGCAGAAGGAAGACCCACTTCTGTTTTCCTGCAGACCCTGGTTGCTTATGGGTGGGAGGGCCTGATGCCTGACCTTGGCATTTGAGGTCTCTCACATGGGGCTTGACCTCTGCCCTTGACTCCTAGTCACTTTCCCTCTCTGAGCCTCATTCCTCACCCTGAGAGCGGGGAGACTACCAGCTGGTGCTGCCCGGAATGGACGAGGCTGCGTCCAGGGCCTGGGGGGGACAGAGGGCTCCAGCTTAACCGAGCACGAGCCCTCCCTGGCTTCTAAGGTGGTTGCGAGCATCGTGGGGGTTGGGTGGGAGAAGGGTTCGAACCTGACCTCTGCCACTCCTGGACTTCGACCCTGAGCCTCGGTTTCTATATCTGAAAAGGGGCCCATCAGTAGATCCTACCTTGAAAACACTCCCGGTGGTTGGTGCCTGTGACGCCGTAACGTAATGCCAAGGCTGGGCCGAAACCCCGAACCCACAACCCACTGACTCAAATCAGCCCCAGAGAGGGTTTGGGGGCTCTACGTCTGTCCGGGAGCAGACAGCTCATGGGTGGGTTTAGACCACAGACCTCATTTTTAACCTGACAGTGCTGCCAAGGCCCAGCACATGCAATTAACACTCAATAAAAAACGGCACCTCATTAATTACCCCCATCTCCTATCCGGGGCTGCGTCCCCACCCACACCACTCCCAGCCTCATCCCCAACTCTGGAAGCGCACAGAACCCCAGTACAGAACTGGGCCTTGGGTGTACTAACTTGTGACTCATGGCCCGTTTGGTTTTCCCAACGGGAGTAGAAGCAATGGCCCCAAGGTAGAGGCCTGGGCCGGCACACCTGACGTGTCTGGTATTCTTACACCAAACATGGCTACTTCATGTTTGGCCTGTGATGGGTGCTACAGAGGCCGCTGGGTGACTGACAATCTGGGGGGAGAGACAGACCCACCCTCAGAGAGGGATGATGTAGAGGGGTCAGGACTTGGATGGGGTAGGTAAAGACAGAGGGAGGGGGACGGAGGAGTGGGGTTAGGTTGGGATGGGGAAGGTGCAAGGGAGAATAGGGGGTTGGACTTATTCTCAAAGAAGCAATTGGCCCTGGGGACCCAGTGAAGGCGCAGACAAAACAGGGCCCTGCTGTCGGCAGGGCCCCCTTGGCGCCGTCTCTTGGTCTCCCAGGTAACTAATGCCGGGGCCTCATCTACCCTGAGACCAGAAGAACTAGATGGTGGCCGGCTCTGTCACTACCAACCATTCTGATCAGGGCCACGGGAGATGGACCTCGGTAGAACCAGTGGGAAAACTCAGCACAGCCTTCAAACCCTCTGATCGAGGCCAGACTTTCTGGTCCAGGTGAGACTAGAGGGTAACCCGGCAAGGTCGATCCTATTATCCTGAGTCTTTAACCTTTAACCTTTCCCCCTTTGAAATAGCAGGTAGGCACACCACCTGCAGGGTTACTAAGGTCAGAGACCTCGATATTGCCCACGAGCATGGCATTCCATTAGGAAGCGAACCTTGAGAGGCATCCGAAGACTCCAGGCAAATAGATACCGATGCAGACGAGGGGGGTTGGAGTGGAGACCTAAAGCCCATCTGGAGACAATTGGACATTCATTCCCTTGCAGAAGGGTCACAAGAAAAGAACGAGTTAGACAGGGTGCAGCACAGCACCGACGGAACACACAACATTCCTCTAGTCGTTATTTAATGCTCCCCTCTCCCCTACTACCATGACCCCAGTTCTCACTTAACAATCTGGCTAGACCGGAGCAGGTACACTGGTACAGATAGGCGGTCTCGACACAGGGAATCCAGGACAGATAAACCCCTCAGGACCAATAATGGGAGTAGCCATACCATGAAGGTACGGGGGAGGTGGGTGGGGGGAGAAGGGGGAGAAATAGGGAACCGACTACAATTTAACACCCTTCCCCCAGGGGGACAAATAACAGACGTGGGTGAAGGGAGACAGCAGACAGTGTAAGACATGAAAATAATAACGATGATACATAGTTTATCACAGGTCCACGAGGATGGGAAGGTTGGGAGGGAGGGAAAAAAAGAGGAGCTGATACCAAGGGCTCAAGCAGACAGAAAATGCTTTGAAAACGATGATGGCAACACATGTACAAATGTGCTTAATACAATGGATGTATGGATTGTGATAAGAGCTGTAAGAGCCCCCAATAACATGGGGGCTCAGAGAGGCGACCCCAAGACCAACCTTTGCAGCAAAGATGGAGAGGTAAAGGGGCCAGGGAACTTAGAGCCCCGGGAATGCTGCTCGGGAGAACGTGGCTGCACCGGAGGAGGAGACTCACACCTTCGAGCAATCCCGTGAAAAAGAAATCTCATCTGCTGGATGAGCTTTTAGGACTATCTGATGGAGAAATACACCTGAGGGGGCTTCAAAGAGCTCACGGAAAAGTTCCCATGAGTTTTCCACTCCACTTCCCCCTTGCACTTCTTGAAGCCCCCTCGTCTATATTCAAAAGCCAGACTGATTATGTGTTGATCATTGCGATCACTTCCCCCTTTCCCCTCTCCCCTTCTGGTATCACTATTTCCATGCCTGTTCCTGGATTCCCTGTGCCGTGAGCTCCCATCTCTTATCTGTACCTGTGCTGTGCGCTGGTCCAGGCCAGAGCGAGAAGCAGCACTGGGGTCATGGTGGGTGGTGGTGGTGAGGAAGCTTCAAGGAACCAGAGGAATATCGTGTGTTCCACTGATGCTTTACTGCACCCTGGTTGACTCACCCCTTCCCTGTGGCCCTTCTGTGAGAGGATGTCCCACTGTCTACAGATGGGCTTCGGGTCTCTGCTCTGACCCCCCTCGTTCTCAACAATATGTTTTTGTTGTAATAAGTGTTGTAAGAGCCCCTTTTAACAATACACAAATACATAAAAATTAAAAACAAATAAAGCCAGCATACGTTGAAAAAAAAAAAAAAGCCAAATTGAACCTACTGCCATTGAGGTGAGTCGAACTCATAGCGCGACCCTACTTCCAAGGCTGCGCACCTCTGCAGCCAGATGAGCCACCTGTCTGAGCCACCTGCCTCGTCTCCGTCTGTGGAGCCGCTGGTGGCATCGAACCACAGACCTTTGTACCGCTCTCTATTGCTCAGACTGAAAACGATACAAAGTCTCAACTTTCACATGCCTGGGAGGCAAACGCCGGACACTGGACCAGGGAGACCAAAGAAGAACCGATGCATTTGAACGGCGGAGCTGTCTAAGAAGACGGAGCACTCCCCGTGCTTGCCGAAAGCACAAATACATCTGTCTTGGAAGAGGTACGGCCAGAGGGCTCTTTAGAGGCCAGATGGAGACACTCCGCCTGACAGACTTTGGACAAAGCTGTCAGGAGAGACCAGTCCCCGTAGAAGGACCTGATGCTTGGTACAGTAGAGGGGCAGCGAGGAAAGGAAGACCCCCCCACAAGATGGATGGGCACAGCGGCTGTAACCATGGGCTCCAATGATAAGAACAGTTATGGGGCTGGCACAGGACTGGGCAGTGTTTCCTTCTGTTGTGCTTAGGGTGGCTGTGAGTCCGTGTCCACTCCACGGCACCTGGCCACAACAGCCACCACGTGGATGGAGCGCAGATACTCTTTTAAGTCCGTTGCTTGCATCCGGTCATTGGAGGCTCTTAGGGATGAGTGAAATGAGGCCCAGAGAGGCAAGTCACCTGCCCAAACTCACACAGCCAGCCCGTAGTGGAGGCTGGACGGACCCCAGGCTCTATTGCCTCTCAGCAAAGGAGGGTCAGTTTCCCAGGGGTCGGTACAGGTGGGAGGAGGCTTAAGGTGAGGGGTGCAAAGCCTGAAGTCTTACCTGCACAGTGCAGTGGGTCAGGGGGTAGATGCCGCTCAGGCCTGGAGTCCAGGCCACCTCCAGCTCCGTGGACCAGCTGGAGACCAGGTGGAGGTCTCTGGGCCTCTGGGGGAGCACTGTGGGCAGGCGAGGAAAGAGACTGACTGGAGAGGGGTGCTTATCCCAGAGCCCCCTACTTGCCTTCTGCCCCCAGTCCAGCTCCCCCTGCTCTCTGGCTATTGGTCTCCCAGCCGCACCCCTCGGCCTGTCTTCCGTTACCTGTGATGGTGGCTGTCCGGGATGTGGTGACACCCTTGGCGTTATGGGCTTCACAGGAGAAGGAGGATGTCTTGTTCAGGCCTGGGGAGTCATAGGAGGGGAGTAAGTATCAGAGGGGAGAAAGGCAGGGGCCATGCCCACCATGGCCAGCCCAACCGGGGCACTTGCTGGAAGAGGGAGAGGGAAGCAGGGATAATGTGTTGTAAGCACACACAAACCTCTACCCTCAAGCACAATGCCAGTCCCAACTCTATGCGCACACACATACATAGACACACCCACAGACATGCACGACACACAAAGAATCATAACACACAGGGATGCACACATTTACACACTCAGCCACACATACACACGGATAAACACTCACACACACACATGGGTACCCGATAACACAGACATACACACCGCCACACTTACTGAGGTATGTTCACCTAACACCCACACACCTGAACAGGCGGGCCCTTCAGGGTCAGGGTGTGGACAGGTAGGGGGTGTTGGTGCCTTGGTGAGCTCGGTTCCCACCAGGCCCTGTCCCATCTAGTGTGCCCAGCTCCAGGGCTTCCGGAAGGCAGTAAGGGCAGTCTGACCTGGGGACCTCTGCACCTGCAGGACCTTTGGACCTGCACCTTTGCACTGGAACACCCTTCCCATAGGTGTCCCCTCACAGGCTCCCTGCTCCCACCGGCTCTGTGTGTGCGCGCTAGGCACTCACCACCTGGACAGCCCCTCATGCACGCGGTACCCGACCCCGTAGTTCACAACTCGGCGTTCTCAACTCTCTGCGAACTTCTCACGCGAGTTGAGTAACTCGTTCTCGTTCAAGAGGGGGCTTGGGCTCCAGGAAGCCGGATGCCTTGGCCTCTTACATTTAGCACAGTGGGCCACGTATTGGCTGTGAACCTCAAGGTTCCCAGTTCAAAATCAGCAGCAGCTCCTGGGCAGACAGACCAGGCTGTAAATGATTTACAGCTTCAGAAGCCCACAGGGCCAGCCGGACACTGCCCTACAGGGTCTCAATAAGTCGGCAGCAACTCCATGGCAGGGTTCTTTTGGGGTGAGGGTGGGGTTTGGCTGTAACCTCAAGGAGCCCTGGTGGTATAGTGGGTTATGCATTGGGCAGCCAACCGCAAGGTCAGGAGTTCCAAACCACCAGCCGCTGCAAGGCAGAAAGCTGAGGCTCTCGGCTCTTTAAAGAGCAGTCCTCTTGTGTGTTTCTGTACAGGGTGTATGTGTTTCCACCGGTCAGTGTCCGGGTGGAAAGGCCTGGTCATGCAACGGTGAAGCACTCTCCTGCTAACTTCAACATCAGCGCTGGCAACCCACGTGGGGTTCCCTGGGGAGAAAAACAGAGGCGGGCATCTCACTACAAACAAACCAGCTGACGCATAGAGACCCTGTAGGACAGGGTGGAACTGTCCCTGCGTGTTTCCGAGACTGTGACGATGGGAATAGAAAGTCCTGTTTTTTCTGCCACCGAGCGGCTGGTGGTTTCGAACTGCTGACCAATGGGTAACCCCTAGCAACCAGGTTCTGTTAGGTAGGCCAGCATAGGACTGGGGGATGTCCATTAACGCGTGCCCAGAGGGTCAAGCTAGGGAAACAAAGGAGAGGCGCACCGCACATGTTCAGGGTTCCCGCCCGTAGGCAGGGGTGGGCGTGAACTTGAATTGGATCACCTAGCCAGGTAAATTCAATTCAGCCAATGGGGTCGACCAGGGGTCTTCCACCACGCCTCCCTGTGGAATCCTTGAAAAAGCAGAAGCCCGGAGGGGAGGGGGAGGGAGAGAACCTAGACGGGAAGAGAGAGAACTTAGGCGCAGAGGGCTTTGGCAGGGCTTTGGGACACGCTTTGCGGGACCCAGAGCCGCTTCCAGCTAGGCCGCATGTCCTGGAGGAGCCCCTTGGGTGCCGTGTAAACCTGAAACTTCTTCTAACTTTCATAAAACTCACTTCGATCACGAACCAGGCTTCGGCGTGAATTCTTTCTCGCGCGGAGCCAAGGACCGAGGTATAAATCTAGCTCCAGAGAGATCTAACAGTTCCTGGGAGAACCTTGTATGTAAAACTGCATAACAGTTCTGCGCAGTCCTGCAGCGGCACTGCAGAGTTGGAATGGCTTCTACCACCGTGGTTTTGTTGTCGTGTGTCGTGTGTCGTGTTTCCTTGTGGGCCGTGGAGGCCCCTCCCGTGCAGTCTCCGAGAGCGGTGTCTGTGTGTGGATGTTGGTCCCTCGGTGCTGGTTCCCACCACCACCCGCCCCGCGGAGGGAGGGACAGCTCCGAGCCTCCCTGCACAGACACAAAGTTTCCCTTTCTGCGTCAGCAAAGGGGGCGGGGGAGGGGGGGGCCCACTGGCCTCCGCCAGAAGGGAGTGGGCAGGGAAGCTCCTGCTGTCCCACCAGCCAAGGTCAGGTGCCCGGCGCAGCCCCCGCAGCCGGGGGAGGGACACTGGGACTGTCCCCTGGGCCAGACGGAGAGGGGGCAGGGAGCCTGGTTTGTGTCCAGCCACCTGGCACTTGGCCCTCTCATCCCACCCACTTAAGGTCACCCTTAAGTCTGAGCCAGCCCCGTCC